AATGTCAAAAGAAAAGGCCAAGCATTGTTTTGAATATCCGACTTCAACATTTTTGACATCCATTGTTTTCAAATTGACACCGCAAAAATAAAATAATAATACAAAAAAAAAATCAATCAAAGGCAGGAGGACATTACTTTTTTTTTCAAGAATAAAAATCTACTTGCATAGTATTACATCATAAAAAAAGTCATAACCATTTATCTGCATAAATAAATATCATGTATATATCTTCATCAATGAGAAACTTTATTTGGAATTTTTTTTATGTCTCTTTCATTCAAAAATACAAAAAGCTTAGCATGCATCTAGGTTTCCTCTTTTAAGGTCTTTCTATATCGGTTTTCTACCAAGCAATGGTCGAAACAAGGTTTTTCATTATAGGTCCATACATTCATGCATTCGGTATCATTCATACATTCAACGTCATGCATGCATCATCATATCATAGGAAAGAGAAGAAAAAACATAACACACCATGCATCGCCAACTCCAACGAGAATTCATGAATTCGATGGAAATCATTTCAAAAAGTACATCAGTGAAAAAGTTCATAATTTTTTTTAAAAAAAAGGGTGAATGAGGATCTCACGCGAATTCCCACCCATATATCAATACATCAAGCACGCATTACCATGGCGTAGAATGCACGGAAGTACTAAAAGCCAAAAAGTATAAAAAGGTAAACAACGAGACTTCCACGACATCCTTATAGGACTCGAGCAAATTCTAAAGCGATGGAAGTTTAGGAAGAGGAACGTGAAGTTGTAAAGGCTAATATTAGTCAACTAAAGGATCAAATAGGTTAAATCTTGGAAGCTTTGAAAGCTATGAAGGTTGCAAGAGAGACTTTGTTTGTAAAGACCGAGGATAAGGCTCATCCTCCAACACATAACGTTGTGGGCACACAATTCACGTTTCCAATGTATGGTTTGCCATCAGGTTACACGCCGCCCATTGGAGATCACTCAGAGGCAGAGCACACTTCTTTGACATTTCCTATAACCAATAGCGTACTAGAGCTCAAGGGCCTATCCACACGATAGAGACGAAGGTGAATGAAATATCCAAGTTTCCTCACACAATTGTTGCACATGATGTTTCAACTAAGGCCACCATACACACAAGCATAGAGGAAGCGAAAATTAAACTTAAAGTGTTGGAAGATAGGCTGAAAACCATAGAGGGGTCTGAAAGTTATGGGTTTGGTGATGTGGCGAGGTTGAGCCTAGCCCCAGATGTGATAATCCCACATAGGCATAAGGTGTCAGAATTCGAGAAATACAAGGGTAGCACATGCCCTAAAAACCAATTTACCATGTATTGCCGAAAAATGGCTGCTTACGTTCATGACGAAAAATTATTTATCCATTTCTTTCAAGATAGCTTGGCTAAATCATTGTTGAGTTGGTATACGTATCTGAAATTCTCTCATATCTATTCTTGGGCAGATTTGGCGGATGCCTTTGTAAGGGGCAATAAAAATACAACATGAACGTCGCGCTAGACATGTTACAATTTCACCACATGACAAAGAAAGAGGAGGAGTCTTTTAAGGAGTATGTGCAACTATATAGAGAATTGGCAGCACAGGTGGAGCCACCTCTATACAACAAGGAGATGGTTGCAATGTTCGTGAGCACACTAAAACTACCTTTTCATGTGCATATGATCGAAAGTGTGACTTCCAAGCTGGTATCATCATCATAGACCGAAAGAATCGAAATAGGGCTTAAGAATGGGAAAATTACATCTTCGGCCACTATTTCAAAAATTTCGTTTTAATCTGGAAAAAGAGAAGGAAAGGCAACCCATATGGGGAGGTCTTGCGCCCACTCATAACTATCACCAAAGCTCAGTTTTCATCCTGGCACCAAAGCCCAGTTTTCATTCTGGCACCAGAAAAAAAAAGCCAAGTTTTCATCCTAGCACCAAAGCCCAGTTTTCATCCTAGCACCCAAGCTCAGTTTTTACCCTAGCACTAAAGCCCAGTTTTCATCATGGCACCAAAGCCCAGTTTTCATTCTGGCACCAAAGAATTCAAAAAAAAAAAAGAAAGCTCAGTTTTCATCCTGGCACCAACGCCTACTTTTCATTTTGGCACTAAAGAATTAAAAAAAAAAGGAAAGCCCAGTTTTCATTCTGGCACCAAAGCCCAGTTTTCATCCTGGCACCAAAGCCCAATTTTCATCCTGACACCCAAGCTCAGTTTTCATCTTGGCACCAAAGCCCAGTTTTCATTCTGGCACCAAAAAATTCAAAAAAAAAAGCCCACCTTTTAGGAAAAACTTCAAATTACAATAAAAAGAGAAAAATAAGGGTGTAGACATAACATACCTTTTTAGCTTTTGATACTCCCTTAGTGCTTGCTTCGTGTTGTCTTTGACAGAACCCTTATGTGTGAGAATGTATTTTTTTCTATACTCTCTTTCTCTCTCTCCTCCCTTTTTTCCATGACAGGTGCGTATTTATATACACACATTGTAATATTATGGTAATTTTGCCCTTAATTGTGAATTAATTGTCAACGAACAAAATAGAGAAAGAAAATGTCTAGGTTCCAAAGAAAAGAAATCAAATAATATTCAAGACATTAATTATAATTATCGTCAGAAAATTTGTCTATTTTTAAAATCATATTTTCCTCTTTAAAAGCAACGCACCAGATTATATTAATATATTATTTTAGTTATTTTTATAATCATTAGCATAATATTGATTCAAATTATTACCATATTAAACTAACATTTCAAAAATATTGTGTCTGGTATTATAGTCATTATTTTATCCTTTTTACCCACCATTAATTATTATTCTCTTATTTTTTTTATTTATTTACTTACCCGGACGAAATTGGGTGTTGACAGCTGCCTCTCTTTATTTAGATTTTGCTAGATAAGATATATTTTTTAATGATACAAACGGTTTATGTTATATAAAAAATTGTTTCCAAAAAATATTTTACACTATTTTATTTATTTGTTTTGTTTCTAATATGGATTACCATAAAAATAAAATTAATTAATTTAATATATGATATATTGCTAAACATTATTTTAAAAATTAATTGACTTTTAAAATAAATAAACATTATTTCAATATTTTGAAAATATATCATTGAATATATAGTAAAATAAAACACTGTATTTAATAGTTTATTTTAAATGTTTAAATTATATAGTTATAATAAAAAAAATCACTTCTTAATGTTATAAATTTTACTATTTTCAATTTGAAAAAGTGTAGCTTAAAGAGTTTAATAAGACTCAAACCAAATGTAAAAACTATCCAATTAATTGCTTTAAAATATTTGTATTTATATTGTCATCAGTTAAATAAAAATATATATTAAACATAGATTAATTAGACAACTCACTAATTAAACTAAAATTGGTTAATTGAAATGTTACTTTAGATTAAAATTATATCGTTTTGATTTGAGAAAGCTCTTGAGACACTTAGATTGAACTAATTTGGACCTTGACATATCTATCGAGGTTCTAAAATTATTTTATTTTTATTTCTTAAAATAATAACCTTTTAAAAAATAATATATATATATATATATATATATATATATTAATAATACAAATATTTATTATATTATTTTATCCATTAGATTTGCTTTTAAACTGATTTAGCATAAAATAGTAATATATTTCAAATCTATGATTTCATATCTAATAAATTATTATTTTAGTTTTTGATACAACTAGTACTTTCTCAAATTTAAAACTTTCGTATTAATCTCTAAAAATGTCAATTATATATTAATCAATTTAATTCATAATATGTATTTCTAAAAATTATTTAAAAAATTTGTTGATTTTTAAAATAAATAAATAATTATTTCTTTTAATGTGTGTCTTAAACACATTTTAATCATCATTAGAAATATTTTCCAATGTATTTTAAATATTTTAATTATTAAACAATAACTTATATAAAAAATATTAACTCATTTGTTTTATATTATTTGTTTTTTGGTTTTAATTTTATCCGTTTATAATTTATAATCATTTGATCGTTTAATAAATTATTTAAAAGTAAATTATATTAAAATATTAATTATTTTTTATACTATTATATTTTATTTTGTCTTTTATTTTTTTTATTTATAGTTACTCGGTTAATCATTTAATAAAGTTAAATTTAAAAAAAAATTACTTTTATTCTTAAAATAATATTATTTTAAAAAAACAAAATATATTTATTTACAATATAAATGATTTATATTACGAAACAATATATTTATAAAAAATGTTTGTTTTATAAGAATTTTTTTTAATCAACTTAAATTATGATAGAAATTCTTAAAATTATTTTAAAAACTAATTAACTTTTAAAATAAATAAGTAATTACTTCCTTTAATTTGTGTTTGTAACAACACAAATAATGACAACCTATCATAATCTTATATAATTGCTACTCGTCAAGGATACATAAAAGTATATAAATCGCTTTATTTATAGTTATCGCTTTATTTATAGTTATCGTAAAGGTAATACTATAACAAAAAAATGAATTAATATACATTCCAAAGATATAGATTGAAAAGGACAATAACTACAAAGTTTGTTTTTTTTATGAAATACTGCACTAAAAAATGAATAAGGACACCAATTTGAGGCACATACAACGCAATAGCAGATAAAAAATTTGAAATCTCTTTGGAATGTACCACCAATGACTACATAGAGAACAAAAGCACAGAAAATTATAAAAATGATGCATACCAGAGGATTGATGTATTTGAATTATTCATAGCATCACACATGCAATTTAGATCAATCCAGATCAGCAACAACAAGAACTTCGTTAAAATCGTGAGATGAGGGGAAAAAGAGAGGTTAAAGATAGAATATAAATGATTTTAATAAGAGGCATTATATCACCCAGAAATTGCATATAAAAAAATTGATTTCCTTTTACTACTTCATCTGAGCACAAACAATATATACACTGCGCAAAAGGCTACACAAAATTTTCAAAGACAGAGTTAAACATTACGGGAAGTAAACAAAATACTCTTGAATTCATCACAAAACGTCGGTTCCCTCCAGAAATATAGTTGTATTTTTGGAATATGCTTTATGTATTGCCAATCCTCTCCTGTTTCCCTCTTGCACCGCTTTTTCAGATGAGGACATTCGCGTATCGCTAAATGAGACAAGTTGGTGAGGCGTTGAATGCTACTCGGCAGTGACCTCAACTCCCAACAGCAATGAATTCTTAATTCTTCAAGAGTAGTCATGTCTCCCAGCCAGTCCGGCAATGAAGTACATGTGCATGCATATATACCTAAAACTCGTAGGGAAGGGACACGTTGTAAGCCATAAGGTAATGTGGAGTATCCCTGAATAATTGAGACATTCCGAAGGGCAGTTAGTTGGTTCATATTGCTTGGTAGAGTCACCAGCTCTGGACAATTACCGATCGTCAAACTCTCAAGACAAGCCAAATGTCGCACTCCTTCAGACAATGATTTTAATTTCTTACAGTTTTTAATGGACAGAGTTCGAAGAGATGTTAGACCTTCCAGCACGTGTTCTGGAAAATACTCCACATCATACCATCCTTCAATACGTAGTTCTTGTAGTGCATGCAACCCACTGAGTTGGTCGGGTAATACCACAACTCCTTTAATGCAATAAATGCCCAAGGTCTTTAGAGAAGGAAGATTCCCCAGAACCCCTTCCATGAAGGAAGCCACTTCGTCAATGCTCATAGCAACAAGTTTCTCAACAGAAGAGAGACGTGGAAATTTAAGGTTGGAGTCGCAAAAAATTCTTAATTCAGAAAGTCGAGGGAGCATCTCTACTCCTCCCTCCCTCAACATTCTCTCCAAGTTTGGTAAATTGCTCATGGTCAGTTTCTCCAACGATGGAAATGCCTTCTCCTCCACGCCATCATACGTATCACCATCTATCCACTTCACATTTTTCATTCCACTCACCTCTAGCCTTTTCAAGTGTGCTAGTTTACCAAGTGGTGGAAGCTCTTCACAGTTGTCACAGTCCAAGAGCTCAACTTCCACCAAGTCTCTCAAAACTACAGAACTTTTCATCCAATTGGATAATTGTCTTCCCTGATATCCTCTCATCCCAAAACTCTTCAGAGCTGAGGGTGGTTCCAGGGCTTCGAGTACTCTCTCCACACTAACATTACTACCTTCTGAATTAGCACTACTACCCCATGACAAGTGTAGGCGATTCAACTCTTTCTTGCTCATTAAATTTGCTTGTTTAGCATCCCATTCATTGGGGACGTTTTCAAGGCCTCTGATACTCAGCGTGCCTCCCAGCTTTAAGCTATGCAACTCTGCTAACCCACACCCTCCTTTCAAACCCACAACAAAAGTGTTCAGGGTTCTTAGATGCCTTAGCTTGCCAATATTCGGAGGCGTCTCTTGTATTAAATGACAACAATTAATCACAATATGCCTCAGATCCTGTAATCGTGTCAAGTCCTTAGGCAACCCATGAAGTTCTTGACAATGAAACAGTTTCAGTATTTGCAATTTCGGCAACTGACAAATTGAGCTATTTAAGCTTTCTTCCGAACATCTACAAAATCTCAAACTCAAGTATCTCAAAAGTGTTAAATCCTTGAGTGGGGACAACAATGAAGAGCTTGTTTGCAATGCTCGGAGACAATGATTTGATGGCACCGGGCCAATACCACCAATATCAAGAAAAGTCTGCAGGGATTCAACCTTCTTCAAATCAGTCGTCAATCTTTGCTTGAAAGCAGTCATATCATCAGACACACCAGAATTGAACAAGCTTGAATAGTGAACTCTAGTTGGCAATGGAGTCAATCTTCCTTTCACAATAACCACACATTCCTCACCCATAATAGACTGGGCAAGATCATGAAATAGATCATGGATCTTGAAAGTTGTGATCATACCAAATTCATCATACTTAGCTTCTTGAAAAAATGATCTACTGTATAATTTTTTCCACACTTTATTTCCAACATCCTCCACTTCTACATTTCCTTCACATTTAATAAATCCATTAGCCATCCAGAGATGAATAAGTTCTTCCTTGTCTATTTCAAAATCTTTGGGAAAAATTGCACAAAAAGAAAAGCATCTCCGCAATGACAACTCCAAATTAAAATAGCTTAATTTCAAAGCACGCATGATAGAATTTTCCTCACCTGTCGCAGAACTACTTTCCTCCCGTATATCCCAAATCTCACTTTCCTTTACATTCTGCCATTGTTTTACGTCACTTTCATCACGTAATA